TAAATGGGCAACTCTGGTAACGCTGCCCTCTCATTCATTGATCTACTAACAGCTATGCTCATGTGTTCCGATAATAGCCTAATAGCTTTCTAGGACTAAACATTATTGGATAAATGGATAAAAAAAAAATTATATATATACTGTAAATATCTTAACCCTACTGTTAGACCTACCTGAAAAACTAAAAAGCAATTTATTTAATTCGAAGGCCTGTCGTTATTTTTTATTTGTGCTATCATTATTAATTTCTTTATTTGTTCTTATTTTATTACTGACTGCTTGCTTGTCATTTTTTATTCAATTCAAAGTTTGAAATCAAGCTATCTCGTGCTACTGCACCAAAATTACCCCACTGTAAAAAAAAAAAAACACTGAGTGAGCAAAAATGTGTGAGATAGCTAGTTATAATGGTAATTAAATAATGTTTACATATGTATAAAAGTCTACATTAAAATCTGTCATATAAATTGGTATCTTCATTAGAAATTAGCCTACTGATTGCCACCATTGATGGATACATTTTTTTAATATTAAAAATATCTGTATGACATTATATTCTGCAGTTCTTCTCTGCTGTACCGAATATCTATACTTTTCAAATGATCATATCGAAGTTAGAAATTCAAATATTGTGACAAAATAAATTTTGTAGGGTGCCACAAGATTGTTAATTTCCAAAGGGTGCCGTGACTAAAAAAGGTTGGGAAACACTGATATAAAGCAGCTGTTTTTAGAGCATCCACTCAAACTATAATATCTTATAGTATTTTAAAATTGTGTCAAAAACTTTGGAAAGAATGTAATGAAGATTAAAACCGCATCCTTTTCAATTAACTGACAGGACACTTTCTTTATGACACAGTTTTGGTTTTCATTTTGTTCATAATCAACAAAGGAGCACAATTTAGGAAGATTCTGACAGATTTATATAATCTTACCAGAGTTTCTTCAGTTTACAGCGAGGATCCTTCAGTAGATCAGAGAGCCGCTTCACTCCTGACGCTCCTAGTTTATTTCCAGACAGACTCAGATCTCTCAGGTGTGAGGGGTTTGATCTCAGAGCTGAAGCCAGAGCAGCACAACCTTCATCTGTGACTCCACAATCCCTCAACCTGTAGAGAACAATGACACTCTTCAGTCTCTCAGTTCAGGATCTACAGAAACTTCATGATTAACAGATCCAGTCTAAGGTTCAGACCCGCTTCTGATTGACAGTTCATTTCATTCAGTTTTTTTTCTTTACATGAAAACCCTAAAATCTTCAACACATCTGTATGATGTGAAAACATACTGAAACAAGGAAACATATTTCCTACATAGCTGAGTGTGAGCCTTTATCATTTCTGTTCATTTTTCAAGTGTAGGGGCGCAGACGAGCAAATCACTTTTCTTGTGAATATTAATGAGCCTTCTCCTGTCCTCATATGCTGTTTGAAAATTAAATTTTTTTCCCCAGAGGCGGACAGTAGTGAAGTGTTTTTACTTTACTCATGTAAAAAGTATCTGTAGTTTATCTTTGGGAGTGTTTTTCTTTGGAAAACTTTACTTCACTTCATTCCGAAGCATAACGTCCTACTTTTTACTGCACTTCATTTCATAAATAAAAGTTGTTTGTTTTACCTTTAATACTTAAGAACATTAAAAATGAAGTACTTTCTTGTACTCAAATAAATCTTTGAATGACTTTTACTTGAGTACAAGAAAGTAATAGATGTAATTAAGTATTAAATTATATTTAATATGAAATGTAGTGCAGTAAAAAGTACAATATTATTATATTAAGTAGTTTTCTAAAGAAAAACACTGATAAAGTACTGACACCTGAAAAGTACTTTTACAGCAGAGTAAAAATACTTCACACTGTTCGTCTTTGATTTTTTCAAATGTATTTTTATGTATATTTCATAATGAGGAAAAAAGATTAAGGGTGTAACTATTAAAGGTTCAATTCACAATTTTGAAATCACAATCTGACTCTCATAATACTACAAATTAATCTTGTCACGGTACCAACATTTTAGTTGTCCACCAATAACATATGTGAAAATAAAAAGTATTAAGTACATTAAATCAGTATAATTAAGCTAATAATAATTAATTATTACTTTAAAACAGCATGTAGCCTTCAAAAATATGTTTCACTTAAGTAGCATTGTTTTAAAAAGGTCAAATTAAACCTCATATAGAACAAATGATAAGTATATTAATCAGCATTTACACTCCGAGATCTATTGACATCAGATTTTTTTATTATTATTATTATTATTATTATTTGTCCCATCCATTGCTATGTTATCACTGTGGCAATCCTCACAATTTCTGATTCAGATTTAAAATTTAAATATGATTTAAATATGGTTGTCACTCCAGAAAATTAGCAATGTTTAATAAGTAGCAATAAAAACAATAACAACTTTTACGTAATACCTAATACTAATGTATCTAATGTACTAATACCTAAATTAAATATGACTTTATTATGAACTAATGATGTGTTCAGGTATGTACTAATCAAAACTAATCCATCAAAACATTAACATATCTCATCCATTCACTTCCTTCCCCGCTCACTCGTAAGTAGACTCATTTATTCAATCATATTCGAGCATCACACTCGCGCTCCTGCTAAAGTGATGTAGAGTGATGAAATAAGAGAACTGGGTCTATATGAAATCAGAACACAAGGCTCACAGAAGATCTGTGTCTGTAAATGTGGGAACTAAATGGTCATACAGTGAGAATAATAAAGGAACAGCGTTCTTCAGGACGTTCCTGGTAAATCTCGTTTGTCCACATGGATGTCCAGTGGAAGGTCTATCTATTGTTTGTAACTCATTTATCTTCAGCATTAATATTCATATGCCTTGGTTAGCTATGCTTTCTCCTGCACAGCACTGTTGTGACTTGCTGACTGCGTGTGCATTTATAGTCTTACTATTGTACTATTCTCTGAAATGATGTTTAGTAGTAGTTTGGTGAATCATATAGTCAACATTAAATTACACATTTTCTATTCAGGATATTTAATTAAACGAGGATGCTTAATGTTTAATTAAAAGACGACTCACTTACAACTCAAGACAAGGACTACAGTAAGAAGTATGCAGCTCTTATTACATTACTTCTCACCATTTCAAAATTTAAGAAATATACAGTCTTTAATTTTTTTTAGTTTGCCTGTTCACCCAACAAACAACAGATTATGACCATTCAACAATATTTCATCAACATCTTAAAATTTAAGGAATATAACCTTAAGTAACATAATAGTTGTATATTAAATACAAAAATATAATATTTAGAATAATTCTGTTTAATTCACTGACCATCTGTACACATTTATTATAGAAATACTACATAAAGGATCTGAAATTCATGGAATTGTATTTTCTCTTGCAATGTTCACAGATTAATTAATATTACTATACAAATACTTGTTTTTTTATTTAAAAAGGTTTTGTTTTACTCGGTAATAGACAAATACTTATGCATTAATTTTTTTATATTTATTTTTACCAGCTTATATGTACTTGTATACTATGTATGCAGTATATTAAAAATATTTTCATTCATAATTTACAAAACAAAACAAAAAAAAACTCTTTATGACACAGTTTTGGTTTAAATTTTGTTCATAATCAACAAAGGAGCAAAATGTAGGAGGATGCTGACAGATTTATATAATCTTACCAGAGTTTCTCCAGTTTACAGCGAGGATCCTTCAGTCCATCAGAGAGCCGCTTCACTCCTGACGCTCCTAGTTTATTTCCAGTCAGATCTAGTTCTCTCAGGTGTGAGGGGTTTGATCTCAGAGCTGAAGCCAGAGCAGCACAACCTTCATCTGTGACTCCACAATCCCTCAACCTGTAGATAACAATGACACTCTTCAGTCTCTCAGTTCAGGATCTACAGCTCAGATCAGCAGCAACTTCACAATCAGAAAGAGAGACTGATTAACAGATCCAGTCTCGGGTTCACAACATCATCAATGGGGTGCTGCTTGAGGAGATTCATTTCAATATTAATGTCAGAATGGTAACATCTGTATAAGATATAAAAACACTGAAAAATGCCTTAAGATATGAATCAGTAACTATTAGGGCTGTGTATCACCAGCAAAGTCACGATACGATATGTATCATGATACAGAGGCAACGATACGATACATATCACGATACATGACTGCACTGAATTTCACCTCAGCAGAGTTTAGAAAAACAGCTGTTTATTAAACACTGCATACTATAGTGCCATTTCTAACTATTGGCAGAGCAGGCAGTTGACCTCTGCATTATGAAGGGCCTCCAGAAATGTACCACAGTACAATATAGGTAATGGCATGTGTTTCATGTTTACACTGTGCACCCCGCACCAGGTACAATATTCTGATTTTTTGCATCTTGTTTTTAAGCCCATAAATAATAATGTACTTGTTCTAATAAATTTATATTGTAATGTACTCATTCTAATATATAAAAAAAAATCATTTATATTGCTGGTAGGTTATCATTGCACAAATTAACACTCTCTCTACAATAAAAATAAAAAAACTAACGCGCTGTCTTCACTGTATCTAACGCACACACGCTCAAGACTGATTTATACTCGACGCGTCCACAAGTTCGCTTTGAGTGCGCGCGACGTCGTTTCGCGTGGTGTTGTGCACGACATTTTTTGTACCTTTCCACGCACCTCCGCTTCCGAAGATGCACGAGTTCATCTCAAAGCGACTCTAGCCGAACATGCACGTCTGTGCCAGCATTTGTGTGAAACAGAAGCAGTTTGATGTTAAGTTCAGTCACACTCACAGATCACGCTGCGGCCGAACTCAGACATTCAGGAACAAACTTTTTAGCGCTGCCCCGCAATTTTATCAACTTAAATAGCTTAATCGCTCAAGAGCTACATTATCTTTCTCAACAAGGAGCTGGTAGCATAATTGTTTCTAAAGGAATTAAAGCCACTTTACTGTTAATAGAGAAACGCGGCAAAACGGTGGTAATTCATACATACACAGCCTCTCTCTCTCTCTCTCTCTCTCTGTGCGTCGTAAATGAACACTTGATGAATTACACTTTTCTGAGAATAGACTATTGAAGTGGAGATCGCTAAACTGCAAGCTAACCAGTGTTTTCAGAAAGCAAGCGCGTTTATCCACAGTGGAGAGAGAGAGCGTGTACACATGGTTGCCAGGTTGACAAAGATAAGTAGCACACTTAGCAGATATTTCTGTATTGCGCAAGTGTGAAGCTCTGTTTCGGGGATTACGTCTCTTTATATCAGGCAACCCCGTTGTGTTCCTCTGCGGCCAGATTAAACCTGGTTGTAGCCTATATATGCTCTATTCATTCTTTTTTAGCAACACCGCACTTTTCTACTCAATTTAAAACGTTGTAAAATTGTAAACAAATTAAGCGCGGTCCACTGCTGCACACGTGCCACAATATCGATACAGGGCCAGCTGTATCAAATTTCTGTGACGATACATCGTCGTATCAATATTTTGAACACAGCACTAGTAACTATTATGGATAATGATTATTATTTGTATTACTTTTATTACTGCTGTCCCTGGCTACAGATTTCTTGTACAGCTGTGCTAGTTTTCGCTCACATACTTTATGAACTTAAGATAATTACCATTTAAATCAATGTTTCATATCCTTTATTATTTATTTAGCAGTCAGACTCAACTTTGCATCAGTGCTTTGATCTGTTTAAAGGGATAATTCACCCAAAAATGACAATTCTGTCAGCAATTACTCACCCTCAGTTGAACACAAAAGAAGATATTTTGAAGAATGTTGGTAACCAAACAATTGCTGGTATTGGTACAAAATATCTTCTTTTGTGTTCAACAGAAAAAAGAAACTCATATAAGTTTGATAAAACATTGAGTAAATGACAGAATTGTCATTTTTGTGTAAACTATCCCTTTAAGTGTCACTTGCTTTGAAATCATCCTCTTTTGTTCACCCAGAATTCTTCAAACTTGGTCAGAATGACGTCAAGACATGGATAATTTTGTCAAACCTGTCATGTCAAACATATCACACATTAATACAATTTTCATGTGTTTTTGAGGCTCTTAGCATGCTTAATTTCATGAATCTCTAGTTGTCAGCCTTTAAACATTGGCAAAGACTAAGATATTGCTCAACCCTCTACATTGCGAGTAAATCACTCGCATATGTGACTAAATCGTCACTCTGGTCAACTAAATGATGTCTAATATTAGCCAATGGCTAATATATTCTCAGATTTTACTCGCCAGTGTGTGAGTTGGTGGCTAAGTATAAGTTTAGCTCAGATATATTTTCACTCGCCGAACACTCTGACTGAGCGCATCAGAGTTTCACTCTCCGTCAAGCGATCTGTAGGATCTCTGTCTTTGAACGGACCCACTTACACTATTGAGTCACACATGAAACAATCACATTCCATTGAGACAAACTGAGGAGCACCCTATGCAGCCATCTGCGGTCGTAAAACTCATGCAGGTTCAGTGAAGTGTCTCAGGAGTTCCTGTCCCATCTAGCTTATCGTCTCAAGAGACTCAAATAAAAGCAGTGCTTAAACTCTAACTCACCAGGGGAGGAGAAACTCCCCCTGTCTGAAAACCCCTCGAGGATCAGAGGTGCAGTGTAACGTGACTGGCTTCAGCATAAATAACTATCTAAGAGACAACAGAACAAAGAACCTGGTATCTGGAAAAGTTCCAGCACAAGACACTCCTGGACCCCATGACCGTTTGACATGTAAATTGCTAAATCCGATAAACAGAAAGCGACAGATTAAGAGCTCCATGTCCAGCGAGAAGGATGGCAGATCTACACCCGTGACATGGGCATGACCTCAGGACACCTCCCCTTTCCCCCCTGCATTCCAAAAGGGAGTAATTCCCTCCTTTGGTCAAACAAAGGGACATATAACTTACACAGACAATTCAAAAGACAATAATTTAAAAGGATAAAAGGGCAACTACATTCACAAATCATATGTTTATGTCTTATATATATGCTTGACGTGTTCCATGTAATCGGTGCAACTTTAATCAGTGTTTTATTACCCTTTTTAGGAAATAAGGTTATTAGTGTGTGTGTAATATGTGAAGTTTAATCTTGAACGAATGGTCAAGATAAATGCAGAATGTTTAAATTAAGAAAACTTTAATAGTATGTACAATACTTGCATTTAAGAAACTTTATAGAAGTATTAACACAACTTTTATAGATTGTGTCCTCATGTGATAAAGTGAAGCTTCATGTTAAGGTATGCACGCCCTGCCTTGCATCAAGTCGATTGGAAGAGCGCGCCGTGGAACGGACTTGTGCCGCAGGTCAAAACCCCACTGCAACACAGATTCAAGTGCTTTCTCGCTGCTTACTCTCTCGAGTGAAGGCTCTTTGTCACTTGCTCTCCCGAGCAAGGCCTTGTCGCCATGTGGAGAGAACTCTAACTTGTGCTCACAAGCTGAACCATCAAGCAATTGACCATCCTGAACTCAACTACTCCGTTGAAGCTTCGTAACTCTGCAGAACGCAAAGTCTTGCTAAAGCAGACTCTCTCAGAAGTATGGAAGCATATAGGTTGCAAAATTCAATTTAAAATGCAATATGCAAAATGGCAATGCAATATTCAAAATGGCATTGTATTTCTGTATTTAAATTTACATTTTCCATTACCCATACGTGCAAAGTTTGGTGCAAAAGTAAAAGTAAAATTAAATTATATAATTTACATTTGCCATTTCCAACAGTAGTCTTAATATATGTAAATTGCATGCACATTTGAACGCTTTATAAGTTGCGAAATAAAAAAGAAAATGTATAACACAAATTGATTTGATAGGTGTAACATGTTCAAGCTGAAATGGTAGCAAAATGATAAATTCAATGCTATTTGTCCTAAATGCATTTAGACTAACAGTTAGAACACTTAGGATTGCATTTTCATCATGACGCCGTGGGATATTTGTAGCAAAATTAAATTTGAAAATGCATTCCTAGCTGACCACGCGGTGGGCGTGGTCAGCTAGGAATGCATTTTTCAAATTAACTCCGTCAATCCGTCAATCATTGCTTCAAGGCAGGGATTGGCGGAAGCGTGTTACGTTTGGATCGTTTGAAACATGGCGGCTGGAGATCTGATAAGATCGTTGAATTCACTGGCAGATGAAGTGGAGCGTGAACAGAGAAATATATGAAGCGTATTCCATGCTGAAATCAAACGTTCGTTCGAACGACCGATCGAACGTCTATCCGAACGTCTTAAGCCTGTGATATACTTTCAGCGCGAACAATCCGGACTATTTGCAATTATACTACCGAAACTGTCCGCTCCGCGGACGTGTTTCATACATGCGTAGTAGATCGGCTTGAACAATAAACAAACATGTGAACAAAGAATTGCCCAGAGTTATTGCACATCTGGCTGTCTTTATATTGTTTTATCGACGGATTGTACAGGTTCGAGTAGCAACGGGCCTCTTCACACAGCCTGCACATGCGCAGTAGCCTACTGACCACGTGTACTTGTTTTTATAACATAATCAAACATAATTCAAATAATTTATTTACATTTCCAACAAAGGCAGGGTTTCTGCAGGGCATTGAAAATCATTAAAATTCATTAAATGACCTTTAATAACAGTCATTCAGGACTTCCGTTCAAAAACTCGGGAAGTCTTAATTAATTTCAAACAATTTTTTGTATAATTAATTTAAATTAATGTTTCTAATAGACACACTTATAGCAGAACCTCAAGTAAACTACATGTTATTTTGTTTAGTCATATACAAGTGGGAGCTTTTTCAATTTATTACTCAGAACGACTTAAACACCTTTAAATACTTATTCAGGGAAGTACAGCACGATGCACGAAATGGTTGAGTATTATTTTAGGTATAAAATATCATTATTGTAATGCTTGTAATGTCCATTTATAGTCTCTACACAGCAGCTTGGCTCCTTAAATGTTTAAACACCAGCTAATTTCAACACGCTGACGTCACGTGGGTCACCCGCAGTGTAAGACGCTCAAAGCTCAAGACGTTCGGTTAGACGTTCGATCGGTCGAACGTTTGAGTTTAGCATGGAATACACTTCATATATTTCTCTGTTCACGCTCCACTTCATCTGCCAGTGAATTCAACGATCTTATCAGATCTCCAGCCGCCATGTTTCAAACGATTCAAACCAAACGTACCACGCTTCCGCCAATCCCTGCCTTGAAGCAATGATTGACGGAGGGTGGGCGTGGTCAGCTCGGAATGCATTTTCAAATTGAATTTTGCAACAAATATCCCACGGCGTCATGATGAAAATGCAATCCTAAGTGTTCTAACTGTTAGTCTAAATGCATTTAGGACAAATAGCATTGAAATGATCATTTTGCTACCATTTTAGCTTGAACATGTTACACATATCAAATCAATTTGTGTTATACATTTTCATTTTCATTTCGCAACTTATAAAAGCGTTCAAATGTGCATGCAATTTACATATTAAGACTACTGTTGGAAATGGCAAATGTAAATTATATAATTTAATTTTCATTTTACTTTTGCACCAAACTTTGCACGTATGGGTAATGGAAAATGTAAATTTAAATACAGAAATACAATGCCATTTTGAATATTGCGTTGCCATTTTGCATATTGCATTTTAAATTGAATTTCACTACCTATATGCTTCCATACAGAAGAACTTCGAGGCTCCTCCGCAACCCGGCAACCAACCAATCACCGCCGAGGACATTCCCAGAAACGACGTCAGCCAAACGTCATCTCAGAAACCAATCCGAAGCTCCGGAATTCCCTCCAGCTACGAGGAAAACCCCGTTGCAGCTGCCATCACAAACGCAAGTACAAACAAGGTATTCTATCCGCTGAAATAGGTGCTGAACCATTTAAGCAGTAAACGTAAGACAAACCTCTACTTTGTGATTCTCTCAGGTTGAATTTAAAACCACTCGTGGAAAACGAGTTAGAACTTTGGGAACTTCATACAAACTCCGTAACTTTCATTCTTCAGAACTGTATGTGTGTGTGTGTGTGTGTGTGTGTGTGTGTATGTCTTAGCTTAGGTCAATGTAATCTAGAATAGCCAATAAATTCTTGTTTCATTTATAAAGTATCATTGTCTTGCGTTGTAATTTTAAAGTTAAAACTCTGATCCTTGTTACCTTGGTCAAAATTAATAAGATTACCATTTTGTTTATGTGTCCTTGGCCACGAAGTAATACGAACAGAATCGGTAATATACACGGACGCTAACGTCTCGATGGATGACCGTTGATAAAGTGTAAACTATCAAATTTGAAATCAGTTCTAATCAGGTTAACTCTGAATTTTCAGATTCGAGTCCTCTCAAAATCTGAATTGATTAATAATAATTAATTCCCTAGGAAAAGTAATCTGACGTTACAGATCTGTGCTGTTTTTCAGTTCATCTGAATGGATGATAGGGATGGGCGGATCGATCCTAAAGTATCGATACTTTCAATACTGATGTTGTATCGAATGGATCGATCCTCACATAAAAATATTGATTCTAAAGTGAATTTTTAACCACTAATTTTATTTATCAAGAAATTCGGTCCATAAAATATGCTTCTAAGTGGAAAAATAGACTATACTAACGAACAATTGTGTTGGATTGAGCAGGAGAAATGGCTCTTCGGAACACACGCAAATGCTGAAAGACAGAACCAATCAATCACCGGGTTTCCATCCAAAGTTGCGAATTTAACTTTTTAAACATTTGCGAACAAGCACCGGTTCCATCCAATGAGTCAAAGAGAACAAAATCATCACTTCCTTATAAACTGGCACTATACATCACTAAGAAAAGTAGGAGAAGCTACTGAATATAATAATTTTCCTATATAATAAATTACTTGCACCTCAGAACGAGCAGACAAAACACAATGAATGTGGTTATTGCTTTCGGAGGAGGTGGATGCTGCTGTTTGAGAACGCAGTCGTTTAACAGTTCTGGGAGGCAATTATACAGAAATACTTTGATGACAGAGTTTGCTCGGGCATTTCCGAATGACCATAACAACATTTCAGATGCTGTGAATGAGATCGGTCCGCTGGTTAGTCAGAATTTGCCGTCCCATAGCGCAAAGTCACATGACTTTTTTGATGCGCTTGCAGGATTTTATCCGCAAAATGCATTTCCATCTCCCATTATTCGCATTAACCCTTTTTCGCACAAGTCAAAAACCACCTCACCGCGAGCGTAATTTTTTTTTTGCGAATTAAGGCATTTTTATTCGAAATTCATTTTTACTCGATTCTGATGCAATACTTCAAAATGCGCATAAAATCAGGGTGATGGAAACCCAGCTACAGACAGCGTTCGCTGCTGACGCATGGCTCATGGTGTTTGTTCAAATAGGGCTGCGTTTCCCAAAAGCATCAGAAGCATAAGTAGATCTTAAGAAACCATTGCCATATTATTACATTACATTACACATCATTGTTACTATAAAATTAATTCTGAAAAATGCATCACGGTTTCCACACAAATATGAAGCAGCAATAGCCTAATAATCAGAAATGTTTCTTGAGCAGCAAATGATAGGCTATTGGAATGATTTCTGAAGGATCATGAGACACTGAAGACTGGAGTAATGATACTGAAAATTCAGCTTTGATCACAGGTGCATTTTAAATTACATTTTAAAATATATTAAAATAGAAAATAGTTATTTTAATGGTTAGGCTATATTTCACAATATTGCTGTTTTACTATATTTTTGTTCAAATAAGTGCAGCCTTGGTGAGCATGAGTCTTATTTAAAAAATATTACATAATCTTACTAACCCCAAACTTTTGTGTACATGAAATATTTTTTAAATTGGCTAGTTTGTGCAAGTAAATTTATTTAAACTGGTTGTTAAAAGTTCAAATGGATTGTGTTATGTTCTGTAATTGCTGTTAATAAATCTGTCAGAAAAAAAATATGCTAGAGTTTCACCTTTAGGAGTACAACAGCCTGGCAGCCTTTTACAAAAATTAACCATGGTTTTATTACAGTAACCACAGTTTACCACAGTATTTGTAGTAAAAACAAATTTACCATGGTAATAATAATAATAATAATAATACATTTTAGAACTTATGTAACACCATGTTTATTTTTTTAAATATAAAAAATAATATATATATTTATCAGTCTGGCGAGTAAACTAAAAAATGTATTAGCCAATGGCGATTCAATTGCCAAGGTGTTCGTAGAGGGTTGTTGCTGTTGAGCAAGGGCTCTTTATCGCCCTCCAATCAACAGGAAATCAGCTATTTTGGTTTGAATTGGATTTTCTTTTTTTTGTTATTGTAGGCACTTATTTTAAAATACTCCTTTGTGATTCATGTGATTCACACACTGAGGATGTGGAACTACAATTGTATTTTGAGACGTTCTGGGTTAAGGGGTGAAACATCAATGAGCGGTGGTCCCCAGCTGAAGACCCTGCAGAAAACCATGTGGTATGCGGTCAGGTTTAGGCCTGCCTCAGGGAAGAGGACGCCCCTGCCATGCATAGTCCACCATAGGCACCATAGGCAACCTTAGGTGCAACAGGCCTAAGGTCCAGCAGAAAGACCACCTCGCTGTAATGAATAATGTACTTGAACGATGTGGCCATGGTGAGGGAATGCCATGATGAAAAAGGGAAACAGGAATTTGATTTTCATTTGATTTGTTAAAGTCTGATTTAGATCAAATTGAGATTGAATGTTGGATGTGGTAATTGTGGTCCACGATACAGTGCATCCAGCTGGCATGAGGAAGTGTACACATTAAAACGAATAATAGTGGGAATAATTTACAAGTCTGACTCTCTATCCATTAGGCCACGACTGCCCCGAGTGACTAAAACCCCCTCAGCTGTTATAAATTCACTGTAAACCACGGCTTCACGGGGCTTATTGCTTTTATAAAACGGTTATTCCATATACGTAGTAAGGTTTCACAAAATAAACCAGAGCAAATAAAGTGTAATGATATTAATAAAAAATAGTTCCTCAGAATCAGCTGTGGTTGCAATAAAGTGGTTGCCGAGCAACACACAAAGTAAACAAAGGTGTAGGTTTGTAGAGTGATTTACAACAGCTTTGAACGCGGCTCAACCAATCAGAATAAAGGACCGGAACTATCGGTTTTATAATTATACATTTGTGCAATCCCTCTGTGTTCTGTTTTTAGACATTATTATTTTTAGTGTTGCCCTTTGATACAGTTAAACATTTTCAAACACAACACTCTAAAAAATGCTGGGTTATTTTTTTAAACCCAAATGCTAGGTTCAGCCTGTTGGGTCGTTTTATTGGGTTATTTTTAACATTTTTACCCATGTGCGGGGTTGTTTTTCTGTAACTAAGTTGCTGGGTCATTTTTAACGCTGGGTTATTTTTTCATCAATAAATAAAGGCTTGGTGAGCAGAAGAGACTTCTTTAAAAACATTAAAAATCTTAGTTCAAAAACATTTATATATATAAATCAAAGCCACCTGGGTCCTATGTTCCCAGGATTCATGCTCTCAAGTGTAATGGTCTGTTAACACATTTATTAATTCACTTGATGTTGAGAAGGTACATTATGGAAGAAATTAAATAATTTGGAAAGTTGATGTAGATATTCAGTGCAGTTGGCTTAGTTATCCTTATGATCATATGATAATTGAAACTTTGAGTGATTAGAACATACTGTATAGCCTGAGGAACATAGTTATGTGTTTCTCATGTGCAATATAAATCTGGGGGAAACTAAAGCAACTATGTTGGCTATGTGTCTAGTCAGAATGACTCGTGAGCAGCAATCTTTTTATTTTGGGTATGTCATTTATTTATGGGCCTTATGTCCAATTAAGGATGGAGCAGATTGAGTAAGTAATTTATGTACCTCTCTGCCAAAATAGAGTCTGCAAGAGAAGGCGTTTAGTCATATTGCGTATATGGTGCACAAAGCTGTGCTCCTTGAGTTCTGTACTCTCAGCGGGTTATGATTGGTTGAATGATAAGCTCACATCTGATTTGCTAAAGAGTATGAGGGACCAGGAAAGATTTGAAATACACACACACACACACATCCAATTCACACGTGTGCATCATATATTTTGCATAAATCGAGAACACATAATAAACTGTCAAAAACTTTTGAAGAAAGATTAAACTAAATCATCAACACACACTTTTGTGTTTTTATTTAGTTTTTTTCATTAGTGACCACATAAAGAAAATGGGAGAGGATGTTTATATAATCTTACCCGAGTTTCTCCAGTTTACAGCGAGGATCCTTCAGTCCATCAGAGAGCAGCTTCACTCCTGACGCTCCTAGTTTATTTCCAGACAGATCTAGTTCTCTCAGGTGTGAGGGGTTTGATCTCAGAGCTGAAGCCAGAGCAGCACAACCTTCATCTGTGACTCCACAATCCCTCAACCTGTAGAGAACAATGACACTCTTCAGTCTCTCAGTTCAGGATCTACAGAACAGATCAGCAGCAACTTCACAATCAGAGAGAGAGACTGATTAACAGATCCAGTCTAAGGTTCAAAACCTCTTCTGTGGGGTGCTTGAGGAGATTCATTTCAATATCAATGTCAGAATGTAATCTCTATGACTATGTTGGCTATGTGTCTAGTCAGAATGACTCGTGAGCAGCCATCTTTTTATTTTGGGTATGTCATTTATTTATGGGCCTTATGTCCAATTAAGGATGGAGCAGATTGAGTAAGTAATTTATGTACCTCTCTGCCAAAATAGAGTCTGCAAGAGAAGGTGTTTAGTCCTATTGCGTATATGGTGCACAAAGCTGTGCTCCTTGAGTTCTGTACTCTCAGCGGGTTATGATTGGTTGAATGATAAGCTCACATCTGATTTGCTAAAGAGTATGAGGGACCAGGAAAGATTTGAAATACACACACACACACACATCCAATTCACACGTGTGCATCATATATTTTGCATAAATCGAGAACACATAATAAACTGTCAAAAACTTTTGAAGAAAGATTAAACTAAATCATCAACACACACTTTTGTGTTTTTATTTAGTTTTTTTCATTAGTGACCACATAAAGAAAATGGGAGAGGATGTTTATATAATCTTACCCGAGTTTCTCCAGTTTACAGCGAGGATCCTTCAGTCCATCAGAGAGCAGCTTCACTCCTGACGCTCCTAGTTTATTTCCAGACAGATCTAGTTCTCTCAGGTGTGAGGGGTTTGATCTCAGAGCTGAAGCCAGAGCAGCACAACCTTCATCTGTGACTCCACAATCCCTCAACCTGTAGAGAACAATGACACTCTTCAGTCTCTCAGTTCAGGATCTACAGATCAGATCAGCAGCAACTTCACAATCAGAGAGAGAGACTGATTAACAGATCCAGTCTAAGGTTCAAAACCTCTTCTGTGGGGTGCTTGAGGAGATTCATTTCAATATCAACGTCAGAATGTAATCTCTATGTGAGTAGCACAAAGTTAACAACACATCTGTATAAGATATAAAAACACACTGAAAAATGCCATAAGATATGAATCAGTAACTATTATGGATAATGATTATTATTTGTATTACTTGTATTACCGTTGTCCCTGGCTACAGACTTCTTATACAGCTGTGCTAGTTTTATTTCATATGCTTTATGAGCTTACTTAAAGGAACACTCCACTTTTTTTGAAAATAGGCTAATTTTCCAACTCCCCTAGAGTTAAACAGTTGAGTTTTACCGTTTTCGGATCCATTCAGCCGATCTCCGGGTCTGGCGGTAGCACTTTTAGCTTTTACCTTTATCATTTCTCGCTCAAAAAATGACCAAAGAGTTTCTATATTTTTCCTATTTAAAACTTGAGTCTTCTGTAGTTACATCATGTACTAAGACCGACGGAAAATGAAAAGCTGCTATTTTCTAGGCCAATATGGCTAGGAACTATACTCATTCTGGTGTAATAATCAAGGAGCTTTGCTGCCGTACCATGGGTGCAGCAGGCGCAATGATATTACGCAGCGCCTGAAAGTAGGCTTACTGGACATTGCCTCGCTGGGACTACTTTTAGGTGCTGCGTAATATCATTGCGCCTGCTGCACCCATGGTACGGCAGCAAAATTCCTTGATTACGCCAGAATGAGAGTAGTTCCTAGCCATCATTTTACATAAATTTATATTTAATTTACAAAAAAAAAAGTCTAATGTTTTACTCCCTTGTGTAAAAAGGGTGTTTTCAGAAATGCAACAATGAGTTCATGGTCTTGTTTGCAATCACATATACAGTGCTTAACAAATTTATTAGGCCACCACCCAATAGGTTTGTGCCACAGCTGCCCTAAGTATTGGAGATTACCAAAATTACCATTGTTATGTTTCTGTAATGGTTAATTCACCAGTATGTGTAAGATCTTTAGTCACAGTAGTGTTTCTAATGCTAAAATATAATTATTGTTGGGATTGAATGATTCTAAGATAGATTGCACAAACGTTTAATCAAAACCAAGTCTTTTGGGAACAACTAAACTATTTGGAAGTCAGTAACAACAGAGACTGTGGAAAAGTGCATAACAATTATGCCAGCATGAATGCAAGCTTTTATCAAGGCCAAAGGAGCCATACAAAATAAAAATAAAAAAGCCTATTTATATTTTTTTGGTTTATTCGTTTTTTTTGTTATTATGTGTGAATAAAGACTATTTAGTTGTTTCAGTTTATTATTTGCCCAATGATAACAATTTTTAGTTTTAAACGGGCGGTCTAATAAATTTGTTAAGCACTGTATATAGCTACATATAGTTTTGTGAGAATTTGAACTGAAAATAAAACTTACAAACTCACTCATTTACACTTTGCCCCTTTCTTTCTTGCCAATGGCTGCAAAGTACAATGTGAAAGTGCAAGGCTGACGCTCCGAAGCAGATTCACACATCCATGAGCGAGGCACCACGTGACCACCGCAGGCTCTGTTTAGGCGTTGATAGTGTTGCCATAGAAAAGCATAATTCGATTCAGAGGATGTGATCAGCTCTGAGTAGAACGTCACATGCGGTCATCTCGAAATTACGGTAATTACGATATGGCGTGAATGCAGCATAATATATGGCCGTCAAAACGAAAGCGCACGGGTTCACACAGTAGGCTAGCCTATGTGTGAATCTGGCAATAAATCGCGCATCCACTGTTTCATGCATGAGAAAAATTTTTTATAAAAAAAAAAAACTTAAAACTTTCAGAGAACTTAGTACGTTCTGATGAAAGGGTAGCCTATGTATAGGCTACGGCTAGATAGACGTTTAACTAACATTTATTTGCGTGGTGCCCAGGGCTGGACTGGGACAAAAAATCGGCCCTGGCATTATTTGGTCAAGGCGGCCCACCCCCACTTCGAGATATATATAGTAAATGTTTTTGGAAAGTACGATTTCTTATGTTTTTTAAAGAATTCTCTTCTGCTCACCAAGCCTGCATTTATGTGATCCAAAATACAGCAAAAGCAGTAATATTGTGAAATATTTGTACTATTTAAAATAACTGTTTTCTATTT